CAATAAAACTATTGTATGAGTCACTTGGTCACTGAGGTAAAATTCTAAAAGTGGTTAAGGAGGACGGGCATGACCATCCACGCTAGCCCAATGCGGATTGGCGGGTATTAACGACTGCAAATGCAGCCGAGACCAACGGCTAAACGTACTTTCCGAAGCACGGAGTAGCTCGAGGTAGTATTATTTTTGATCTAAGTTGCTTAACAAAAACCGTCACTACGCCTCCGAAAGACTCTTTTTTAATTTTCTTACATTACTACGAGTATTTTCAAATTTAACACAAACACAATTAACAAGATGTAGAAAAAGAGTAAGACGAAGAGAATGCAATAATTATTTTTATTAGCCTGGAAAGATATCAATGTCTATATAGGGTGCAAACTATTTAATTCAGGATATTTTTACAACTAATACACAGGTCACATTTAAAATTTCTGGAATAAGCCACTTACATAGTAAGTATTGAAAAAGTTATTATTACTTTAAAAATAAAATATTATTGATTCCGGGTACTTTTGCACCCAGGTAGTGCTCGGTTCCGGAAATGTAATTAAAAATATTGCCATCTGTATTGCTTTTATATAGAATTTTCTTAAAAAAATAATAAAACTATTAGTATTCTATTATGCTACTACCGAGTACGCCGCGGTCAATAAATTCAAGAAGATAATTATGTAGCTGTCACCACGGTATTTTATTTTTATTTATTGTCGGAAAATAATGTAATATAAGGGAAAATAAAAAATAAAATAATGGCTGAAACTATAATCCACCTTGCGACCTAGTTTGAATCTGTATATAGGGTTTCTTTTAGACTCTTTAATTCTTAGCAAAATATTGAGTGCACTTACGTATGGTGACTTCCGTTTATATGGACGTCATGCTCTGGCACCGGCTGGACGCAAACTAATCGTTTTTTTATTTTTCTGATTTGTTGTGAATAATGTGCCAAGGGTCCATTCAAGCGAATATAAATGTATCTTACATAAAAGTTTAACTTTTTGAGTAAAATATGCCTGCAATTGCCTAAAACTACAATTATATCACATACCTAGGTTATACCTGCAGATTTTCGACTACCGAGGTAATATCTGCATTTACCTTAATGTTTAAAAAAAAAGATTAGTTTTCTTAATTTCTTTGTGAACTTAATTGTATTAGTGAAAGGTGCCATAAATATTTGTAACAAATTTGTAAGCACCTTATATTTACCGATACCATAACTTTATCATCATAATCATATTAGTATTTTCCCCATGAAAAAATCTATATTAACATTATAATTCATACATATTTATTTTGTCTGTTCGTGATTTTCCTCATTTATTTTTTAACTACAGGAAAATAACTCCGATTATACGCATCAACGGTTAATGTTATTGGATAAATTATATTATTACAACATTAACTAAAATAATGTAATAAACACCTACTTTCTATGGTGAGTGAACCGAGATCTTCTGAAAACTTACTTTTTGTTCTTCAAATAAGATTTTACCCTTATGGTATCATTGAACTTTGATTTATGTGATTGTGTTAACCCTTGAAGCAGCAAAAGGCGAAATAAAATTCGAAAACTAGTGTTTGCAGGTTTGGGTGAATCCAATACAAAAACCAAACAAAACATTTTTAATACTAGATAGCCTAAAAACGGACTTAAGTAAGAGAGTAAGTAACGTCCGTTTTTAGGCTGAGTATCGCAATGACGTGTCCTATAAAATGGACAGTTTGGTTTTTGATAATTAAAATATGCAATTGCAATATCATAAAACACTTAGATTAATTGTTGGAAGCAATGTTATTAAAAAATCATAAACACAAAAAAAAAAACAAAAATACAATCTTATGTCACACGCTCAACATGTTATCATAGTAAATGAAACAACTTTTAAACGGTTTCATCGCGTTTGTATTTAGTTTCAGACGTTAAGGTTTACAGTTTCCGTGCGCGTGAAAATATACGAAATCAATATGTTATCATAACTTTGCCTATGAAACAATATCTGCACTTCCTTTGGGTAACTATTGGATTGGATAACACAGGGAGTTGGAAGACTAGACATAAGAAGGTATATTCGAAAGTATTTTTTCATTGTACAGATAATTTTTATCCGATGAAAGATATGCAATATTCTCTAGTCAACGTGTATATTTTTTAGGGTAATCACGCGTAACTTTTTATAATTCGCAGAGATTCCCCTCAGGTGTAACCTTTAAAAAATCGAAATGAGATGAGACGTTTTGATTTGAATCAAAATAATGGAAGAATTATATCATTGAAGTATGATGTTAACAATATAATTCACGTAAAAATCAAAATCAAGTATTTTGATTTTAACCAAAATTTTAACATCAATTTAGTATTCATAGCTTAATAGATTACTTATCACTACAAGGTCCGTTATTTAGGTCACACAAAGTTTAAAATAAATACAAAGTTTTCATCAAATATAAACAATGAATTTATCTTTTCTATTAATATTTGAAAGACGCAGTGATTAAACGATGTTTAGACAATGTTTTTGAAAATCACACTCGCGTAGCCGCCAAGATCTTACTTGTCAAATTTCAAAGGGGTAAAAATATGCAATTGCAATGTTATAAACACCGATTTGAGTGGTCCAACAGTACCAAATAAATGGTACTACTCAAACCGGGTTCTTTCTATGTAATCAAGATAGATATATCCCTCGACCTTACACTCAGTTCAGTAATTCTTGTAACTTAAATTTTACGACTGTACTTAAAAACAGACAAATATACTTTAAGGGTTAAGAATTCGTTCAAGTTCAAGTTCTTACTAAAGTTTATGTAAAATAAAACAATTACTTTAATACCACATTTTTTTAAACCATAATAAGGATGATGACTGGGTAAAAAAAATGCAATTCTATTTAGTCCGTCACTCAGATAATAGAAACGTATTTTTTTTACTTCAATTTAACAAGAAATAGCTTAGATAACATTAAAGTTGAGGAGTGGGGGCTCGCTACGTCACAGTTGAGTAGAAAACGTACCCTAACGTGACGTCATGCGGAATTTCAACTCCATGTAACGCCGTAATTTTATGATTACGAAAAAAATACGTGTTTAATATTTTTTAACGCTCTACCTGACGGAGAAACAAACAAAAATTAGTCATCATCCCTATTGACTTTGTAGAAATAAGTGAAAAATGTGTGAAATATTGAACATCATTCCGTTACTGTTACCAAACTAGAATATGTGGAACCTTTTTTTATAGAGCCCCCGAAATGTTGACAATTCTATATAAGGTACATAGTAGGTATCCCCGTATATTACTATTACTATGATATATATACATTTTTTCAATAATAACAATATGGTTATCAAATCAAAGGTATTGATGAGTCCATTCCAAAAATATATACTTTGTATACATTTACTGGTCACTAAAAGGAATAAAATAAAAATAAAAAAATATAAAATCACGACAGCCGAAATCGAACTAAAAACGGTTTTCTAATTATTACATTATTTTTTTATATTCAATCCAATGTTGTAACAACCGAGTCCTGTTTTCTCAAAAAACAAAGAAATTACATTTAAATCAATAACAAATAGTTCTTATAAGAAATAAATATTATTTTTAATTAGGTAATGTTATCGTGGTTGCTTCTTATCTTTCGTGAGACATTCGTGTGTCAGAAATCACAATAATGTGTTATTATTAGAGAATAAAAAAACTATATTTCATTAAAGAATTAAACAGAAGAGCAAACATTGTGTCTAATAAACGAGTTTCATTGGATTACGAGTAGTGTTGCAAGTTATATTAATTTTTGCTTTCAACTATATTTATTGATAATAAAACTTTTTCATTTGTCCATAGATTTAATTCTGCTGCTTTCTTTTTTATTTGCGCTTCATCCAAAAACCGTCCTTCGGCTCGTCAGGACCTTGTACAATTTCGGTACAAAATCCCAAGAATCGTGAGAAGATGAATAAAATTCACACTCGCAGAACGGAGACATTTATTTCTGATCTATTTTAAATATAAAAAATAACAGAAATATTTTATTATCGCGATGTAATTCGCCATAACGCCATCTAGACGTCAAAATATAAGTTGCAACAAGTAGTTCGTCGGAGTATCTACCTAATGATTTTGTTTACGTGTTTTATAATCATTATACACGTAGGTATATAGTTTTCTTTGTGACGTATCCTTGAATGGTGATTGAGTATGTGTTTAGTCTGTGTGAAAACCACCCTGAATCACGTTGACGTACGCGTAAACTACATTTTATTAAAAGTCATGGAAATATATCATAAAATATTATACATGATTAGCTGTTTGTGAACAACTTACTGAAGATATCAATGATCTAAATCTTGACCTATATTATTACTTAAATTGTTGTTCTCGTTTATATAATAATTATATTTTTTCCTCTCTGTGCTTTGGGCACCACAAGAAACATATAACATAACATATGTCAACTAATATTTAAATTAAGAGCAGTACTTTACTTACATATCACATTACTTCCTGTCTGAAATCATTACCGTAAACATTAAACATTCACTACGGATTCGTAGCAGATTCACTTTCTACGAGAAAGGCTACATCAACTACGTCGTAGTAATAGTGCGTAGTAGCTACAGCTATGATTGTTTGTTTACGCATTCACTGCGTCATTTACGGGTCTCAAATCTTTTAGATCTTCGTATGAATTATTTATCGATTTTGAAAACATATAAGGTATAGGCCATCGATCCAAACAAAAGAAAATATGCATCATCGCATTCATATTGAAAACATCGAAAACCGCGCAAACTTAACTTTTCATTAATCCAAAGTATAAAACTGTTCTAAATAAACTTATCGTGTACTATTAAAAGTTTATCAATGGACTCGTAAAGTGCGTACACGAGAGAGTTTTCCTTCCCGACGTGGTCGGCGCGGCTCGGCGGAGGCATGTAAACAAACAAGGCGTTACTAGGTAGTCATAAGGCGCTCTACGCTCCCGGCGCGCATTCCGTCGCCGACCGCCGGCCGCGACGCACGCCGCCGCCGCCATGATCGATTACGCGCGCCCCTACGAGCAGAACATGTGCGACCTTTACCTCGCCCCCACCCCGCCCGCGCAGGCCCGCCTCGACGACTTCCAAGTCTTTAAGAAGGGTACCGCGTACATCTACGGAAACTATTATTCCAACTCATACGACGCCTACCAGGAACCGGAGCTGGACACCGCCGTCTACCACAACCTCGTCAATTCCAGGGAGTACCGTCGGGAAGACTGGAAATACAAAGTCGTCGCCGACTGGAACGAGGACGACACCGTCTCTTGGCTCATCGAAACCGCCCAATGCTTAGGATTCAGTGAATACGATGTCCCGTTTTACAATTTCAAAGTTCACGGTTTGGATTTGAAACTCATGAAGCGCGAAGAAGTGTTACAGAGGATGATCACGCCGAACGTCGATCCGATGTTGAGTAGGAGACTTGCCGACGCCGTTTTTGAGAAGTTGCAGAATCGACTCAGTGAAGAAATGTACAGGGATAGAGAGTCGTCGGTGTTCAGATATGTGGAGAGTGATCCTTATCAACATTCAGATGCAGTGCAGACAGTGTTAGATTTAGACTCGCTGGAACACAAGAACAGACTGTACACGTCGGACTACAGGCCAAACGATAGCAGCCTACTGCAGGGCGCCTGCGACTCTAGTGATGACGCGGAGGACGTGTTCAGGTCGTCAGAGACCGCGTCTCCCGAGTACTACGGCAGTGACGGTAGCAAGTCCGGAGACGAGGACGATAAACGCAAATCATTCAAGAGACCCCCCGGAAGGCCGAAAGGTAGTGGGAGGAAGATCAGCAAACGTCCAAGGAGCGTATCAGTGCCGGAGTTCCTGAGAAACCTCCTTTTGGACCCGCGGTACTGCCCGTCCATCATCAAATGGGAAGACCATGCACAAAAAAAGTTCAGGTGAGTCTAATGTTTATTTATCAATTAATTCTCATACAAACCGTTGAAGGCTAGCTCCACGAGTGCATCTCACATCTAGTTTTATTTACAGTTCATACATTATTTATAAAGTCGATGTCACGTGAAGTACCACACGTTGACAATAAACTGTTTTACAACTCAACAGTTGAACAATATCGAGCGGAGCGTTTATTGTCAATCTGCGTTAATCTCGAACGTGTACGTAACTCATTGAGTTGCGTTTGAATCGGTGCCAACGTTATCTGTTGCAACTACTCCACTGGATTCAGTAGCATAACTAAACATACTTGTGTCAGTCTATTTGAAACTATTTATTATTGATGCATGATTAGCTCTCAATTATAATTCGCCTTGTATCTCTGGTATCGTGGCGACGATGGTGTGCAATTAATATAATTATGTTGACGTAAAGTAAGCCTGACGTGGTACCTGCGTTGCCATGTTACTTAATGTACATATCATCCTTTATAATAATTTAGTCGCAAACATGCGAGGCTGCTTATGGACATAACAAACCTGTTTTGAGGTTGTCAACTTACTGAATTGCATTAAACGACCGAGTACGATGATGAGAAGACTAAAACTTTAACTCTCGAGGGATAGCGCTGCACAGAAATTTTTATGCATTTAAAACTAAAATCCTTTTACATCATCGATGTATGCTTTTGCATCGATTTCGTCTTTAGTTTAAAAAAAACTTGTAAAAAAACTACTTCGAAAATTTTACAATTACGTAAATTACTTCTCTTTACTCGTTACGAAAGTTTTAACAATTAATTGTAAAGTTCACTATGAAATAGAAATTGTTTTAGTTTCTTAAATATAAATCTTTCTTAAATAACATAAACAAAATATATATATATATTTTATAACTTTACATAAAGTAAATATTATATATGAGTATTTCCAGTTGGTGTTACAAGGACACAATTCACACCGCAGTTGCACTAATCGCATATGCAAATTCTAAGAATATATCTTATTTAACACATAGAGACACCACGTTATTTACATCTTCATACATTACACTTGCGTTTAACAAGTCCTTATCATGCCTACCTGCCTGGTTTCTTAATATACTCTTATTTAAAACGGTTATTTACTCTCTTTTTACTCTTCTCATTAAAAATATAACGTAAGTCTACTCGTTTAGAACATCGAGAAATTAAATTTTCAGACTTATTTCTTTTCAACTTAACTTGCATTTTTGTTTTACAACTACAAAATTCATTTTTTTATTCATTAATAAATATGTTTCACCACAATAATATACGTTGTCATTAACCAAGTGGATGACATGCCTTATTTGGACGTAAAAAAAAATTAAAAACACTTCCAGATAGCAGAATAATCGGGTTTGACACTTGACTTACAAAATTAATATTTAATATACACGGGGAAATCCAGACAGATAACTTTATAACCAAATGGAATTATCATTAGTGACCTCCTCTAATTAATTAATGACTACCAAATTTTACATGTAAATCTTAAATGTGGCAAAGTATTTATTTGACAGCAGTTTAATGTTTATTTTCAATAAGACCCTGACTTCTCTCGTTATAATCATTGTCATTGAAGCTATCCTGGCACGCAATAGTGTTATGGTCATTTTCATGGGCTAATTAGTTGATGATCTATTGTTCTCTGAATGTCTGGAGTTAGTTCAAACGATTATTTTATTAGAGTGTCACGAGACAAGTCATTTGAATATTATTTCAATGTAAAAAAATAAATAAGTAAAAGTTAATTGTGAGCCTTTGAATACTTGTCGTACGCCTAACAAATCTTTGTTACTAAGAGAATATATGATTAAAGTGTTTGTATATGATGTTCGTTATTTTGTTTTGATCACGTTAGTGGTGTACCACAGTAAAATAAAGTCCTCGTTTTATTGCAGTAAAATAGGGTGTTAATCTCGCCTGTTAACCGTAATGACTGCTTGTTGTGTTTTTATCGCCTTAACCTTGTCTGCTTTGGATGTGGCCTCTAAAGCTATGCAACAATGAGCGTTCTCAACAGTGCCTTTATTATCTAGCCCTTAAGGTTTAAAGTCTGTAATCTGTACAGCAATGGAAACTATGTCAAAGATAACGCCGCAAGTTCAAGTATCGTTTGATATGTCGCGACCAGGTGGACCTTATTCTCTGGTGTCAGGGTATATTTTGATAATGCTTTATCTAGTTTGTTTTATAATGGTTATACGACTTATGATCTATACTAGCCGGTTGATAGATTGATGATACTAATGTATACATATTTTTAAATATATATAAATATTTAAAAATATAAACACGTTAGCATCAGTAATCTATTTCAGTTGTGTACAAATAAGTCTATATGAGTTTAATCGAACCACGTTTAGTTTTAGTCATATTTTATATTATAGAATAATTGTCATGTAAAAATACATTACTACATAAATTTCTGCGTCAATTTATCAGTTGATTTCTTACTTTTAAGGAAAGAAAAATAAACTTGATTTAGAAAAAAAGTTTTGGTTCTGAAACTTTAAGGAATACTGAATTGTTCGAACGTTTTTTTTATATTTACAATGATAGAATCTGTCTGCTGATGAGGTAAGACCGGTTGTTGTTTGCTCGCTTATTCTTGGTAACATATTTAAGTGCATGCGGCAAATGGCTGTGGGTATCATCATTACGTAACAAGATTTGATGTTTTTACTATAATCAATGTATTTTTGGTAGTTTACATAAACGGTGTCACCATTCACTACGGTAATAATATTATCATATTTTCTGTACGTATTCATAGGCTGGTAGTTTTGTTAATTGTTAAAATAATTATTAGAAATATGATAATAGCAATATGATTACATAGTAGTTAATGAAGTAATTACTAGGAGAAGTAACGGTTATTATAAGTAATGAATACCTCACTTATTAAATGTTTTCTAACAATATTGATTCAGATATATCGCAACTCTCATGAAAACTCTAATAAGCCCGAAACAGATAGATTTAAAAGTTTTTTTTTATTATAATTCAGTTTGCAAGTACATTTTTATAATAGCTTGCTATTACTTTATTTGTTAAAAGGCTTTTGCTACTTAAATATAAACATTACTCAGTTTCCAAGGGAAGTAACTAAAGTATTGTGTAGTATCTAAAACAATGAAGGTACCACAACATCTAGGCCAAACACAATATAAAGAAGTTCATATTCTACTTTAAACCCGACCGAAAATCGAACCCGATAACTCATAGGCGACACCTTGAGTCTGGCGTGCAAACCACTCTGCTACAGTGCGCGTGAGATAACTTTTACATATAAAAACATATATATAACATGCTGACTCAAACTACACATGTTTCCCAGCAGAATTTATAGAGTCATTTTTGGAAATTTTCAGGATAAGCAATTAATTTGATTACAATTATTGAACATTATCAAATTGGGATCAAGTTTTAAATTTATTTTTATTTATTAAGATTACTAGCATATTTTTTATTCGCTGATACTCGACGCCACCTCCTGCAGCCTGTTGTTAATTAGCTTATGATATTCGATAAGAATTTATGGTTGATTTTTTCAACTTCTACTACGTAATCCCAGAGATTTGCGCTTTCAAACAAACAAAGTCATCAGTTATACTAAATTAAAACACAGGGTCAGATAAATTAGTTACCCAAAACATATTGCATTACATTCTCGCCGAAGTGTTTGTGGATTGAGTTTTTTGAATGTTTTATCAGCCACGGGCTCAAACAATCGGATGTTTTTTTTTTCTGACGACCTCGCAGTTTTTGCTGATGATTATTGAGAATGACTCTTGAACGGCGTGATGATCAATGATTTTGAGGTTAGACGCGCCACGCCACTGCGACTAATTTATGAACAATTAAACAATACGGCGTTGTACGTCGAATGAAAATTAACATCTTGGTCGAATGTTTAATTCCTCATTCAAATCTGAAGATATATATTTTTATTGGAAGATATATCGAAGACACGAGTGAGCTTTTTGCGTAACAAAAGTAGATGTATTGTTTCACGGATATAAACTAAAGTAGTTTAAAAATGTTCAAAGCTGATCTACAGTGGAAGTATTTCTATTTTATTATCTAATTTTATCAATCGACAAAATTGAAATAGTGTTAAAGTAACTGCAAGAATCTGATCGGGTAAAGATTTAAATTTAGAGAAAAACCAAATTATCGCTCGGTTTTTTAATAGACTTTTGGGATAAGGTTTTTGGGGGCCGATGCCGGAAGTAAGGCGTCCTTGAGGCTGCGTAGCAACGGAAAAGAAAAAATCTATACTAGTACGGTGCACGGGAGGGTGGGAGGGGGGCGCCACCCAACTACCATGGGGGAAATATACTTAGAGAAATTATATCAGACTAGCCTGCGCGCCCGGGTTTCCTCGGCTGACGTTATTATCATTGATTGATATTACGACTAGTAGATATGCATATGTCTATATTTATATTTTAATGGATACATTATGTAACCAATAATAGCTAATTGATGTACTTAATTAAGAAAATGATAAAATTATGACCCTAAAATTATTATTCGTCTATAACGTCATATTTAAAATTTCATTTAATTATTCATATAAACACATTACCTTCCGCACTCGGGTAATTATGGTGAATCATTGCTCTATCACTTTGATTTCTTTTTGCAGCAATGTTTATGAATCAATAAACAATTATGATTACAAACATGTAAAAAGTAGATACAGTTTTATATAATCTGGGTTGACGTGAAACGGTTACATTATGTATTTTCTTTTTATTCGAAATCGATTAAGAAATATAATTAAATTTTGGTATGAAAATAAAAAGTATGTCTATCAGTCGTTATAGCTGTTTACAATAGTATATTTTTTTTAAATACATGCCAAGTTTTACCCTCTTCACCTCTATTGACATATGTACAGCAGCATACATTCCTATTCACAGTTTATAAATATTAGTACATATAGCTGTTTATATTTTCAACTAAAAGTAT